TCCAGAATATTCCTTAATAAAATGAATGTCAATTCTAATCAAAGGATGAAATTTTCAAAGAGCCAGACACGTTTTAATACATACCTCGTTCTCTCTCAAGCAAACTTAAATATAATCATTTTCTTCTTTTCAGTCTTAAAGAATGCAACAGACGTGAACCATTTAATGCTAGCACTGTGGTTGAGGTGCAAGGCTGAAGGATGTTAGTTTAGAAGGACAAAAAAGTGTTAGAAATATGGTTGTGAACTTCTCCACTTTAGAAACAAAAATTGGATGTGAAAAGACATCAAAACATATATGAACACACCAGGGGTTGATTGTGTTCTCTACAGTCTTCAGAAACACATCAAAGAAAATCTAACAAGCAACTTCAAAAGCCTGTTAGTCTCACTGCAAACTGCAGTTCGGGCAGAAATGGCCTGTTAAAGGCCTTATTGAGGAAAATGACAGTTTTCCACTGAGAACACAAGGAGATTGACCTACAAACAATTTCTTGAAAAAATAGCACCAAAATATAATACAAATTTCACCTAGAAATTGAAATAACACCAAAGTGTACTATGGATACAGGAGGGATAGAATAGAGACAAGGAATATAAACAGTGAGAGAAAAACACAGCCTATTTAAATTGTATTCATAAAACATATGAGAGATTTAATATATATGTAACAAAGAAGAAAGAGAACAATTAAAGAATATTTAACTGGGGGCGCCTGGGTGACTCAGTCAGTTGTGTCCAACTCTTGATTTCAGGTCAAGTCATGATCTCACAGTTTGTGGGTTCCAGCCCTGCATTGGACTCAGCACTGATGGTGTGGAGCCTGCTTGGGGTTCTCTCTCTCTTTGCCCTCTCTCTCTCTCTCTCAAAATAAATAATCTGAAAAAATAATAAAAATATATTTAACTTGAATGGAAACAAAAAAATTAAGTACAAGTTGAATTATTTAATTACAAAGATTTGCAGAATATATATTATGTGCACATATAATATACATGTATAGAATATACATATATAAACTCACTAGGTTTTTTCTCTTACCTTAAAACCAAAACCTATAGACACTATTCTGTATAGTAAATCACCATAACTCATTTTTATATAACTGAAACTTTGTATCCTTTGAACATCACCTCATTTCCTATAGCTAATAATACTATATTATATATGTGTAAAATTGGCTAAGAGGGAAGAACATACGTTAAGAGTTCTTACTACAACAAACAAACATCTAAATAATAAAAAGAGAACTGAAAGAAACTGGGAACTGATGAGTGTTTATGGCCTTGATGGTGATGATTTTGTAGGTGTGTACTTATCCCCAAATTCATCAAGTTGTATACGTTATATATGTACAACTTTTAATAGGTCAATCATATACCTCAACAAAATGGTTAAAATAACTAACAAAGCGAAATCAGAAACGTAAAAGGGTGCCAAGATTTAATGGAAGCCAGTACCTAATAGTCCTCTGTTATTTTTGTAGTTATTTAACAATAAAAACAAGTATAATGGCACTCCAATTATAAAGTGTTGCTCATTTTATTTATTTTTTAATGTTTTATTTATTTTTGAGAGACAAATAAAGACAGCGTGAGCATGGGAGGGTCAGAGAGAGGGAGATAAAGAATCCGAAGACCATCTCCAGGCTCTGAGCTGGCTGTCAGCAAAGAGCCCAACGCGGGGCTCGAACCCACAATATGTGAGATCATGACCTGAGCCGAAGTCGGACACTTAACCAGCTGAGCCACCCAGGTGCTCAAGTGTTGCTCATTTTAAAAGAAAATGAGAAAATGTACAGGATATAGTGCAAAGCATAAACTGTATTAGATGTTCCGTTGCCTTGGAATCACTACTAACAGGCTTAACTTAAGCAAAACACATATACATGATGAGATGGATTTTTTACTGCTACTGATGTGCTTCATCATTTGTTGAGAACATGATGGATTGGATGCTATAGTGCCTTGGTCAGGTATCTCTTTCAAGATCCTGAAACTTTTCTCCAAGCCGTCAGAAGTGTTGCTTTATAATGGCTTGGGGCGAGTACATCCCTAGACATTGCCTTCCTTCAGAGGGACCTGTTTCACTCAAGTGTTTTTACCCACTCTTCAAATGAGGGCTTCCACATTCATCAGCTGTTTGGTGTGCATGTAAGACGGTGGGATTTACCTGAAGGGACTTGTGGAATATGAGCTTCACATGGGATCAGCTGAGGCCTCTGTTGTTATTGTATCACAGTCCGATTATTTTTTTTCTGTCTCATTCTTCTTCCCTCACATGCATTGCTTTTGTTTCTGAGAATGATTCCCAAAACTATCACAATGGAAATCTCTGATTCAGAAAGTGTTTTCCAGACAATCTGCCCGGTAAGAGTGTACCAACAGTGGTCTTTGAAACAGACTCTAAATTGGGATTTTTGAGGCTGATCTCCTGCTGGCTGATGACAACGGACACCCCCAACTCTTGTGAGGATAACAGAAGTGCTGACAGCCACTGGGAGATGGCAGGAGAGCCCGGGTACAAACTCACTAGTGGCGAAGCAGGAGGGAACACCTTTAGAAGCTCATACACGCATTGGTGGTATAATGTATTACGTTTTTGAGGTGCTTGATGGAATTAAAGTTTGAGCCAAATGGCTGGTGCTGGGGAATATTGATTCATTACAAAAGACATCAAAAAGCCATGGTGTTTTAATAATCAATGTAAGGGAGTGGTAGGGGGCTCCCTTAGCACTGCAGAGAGAGATGCTGGTCTCTTACAGTTGTAGGGAAAAGAAAGATGAGGAGTAGGCTTACAACTAATCCATAGGTACCAGAGCTCCAGAAAACATAGAATTCTCCTATCATAGCAAAAAGTGATCAGAAAACATATAGGAGCTATTGGAACTCAGTATCAAGGACAAGATGTGTTGAGTCCTAAGGGCAGAAATTTAGTGTGTTTCCGTCTCTGTCTGTAGTGTAAGCCCCTCACACTGGAGGGCTCTCTTTGCTATTTTGGAGACTGTCCTTGTCCATTATCCCCCATTGTCATGACTGAGGTGGACACAGGGGCTAGGTAGGGGCTATAGGTCTTGAAGGTGGTTTTCTTCCATGCTTGCAAGATGAGAACTATAGAAATTTAGAGAATAGGTTTGTCATTTCTTGGACATATAATACAATCTGAAATCATGCTTTTTTAATATATTGTTAATATGTACAAAGAAACTACAGGTACAAAGAAGTCTTTGATCATTTACCTAATGGCTTGTGAGCTTGTATTGGGCTAAATGGTAACCCCAAGTATATATCCACACCCTAATCCTCGGAACCTATAAACATTGCCTGAGATGGCCGAGAGAGTGACTATTATATTGTATGATGAAAACTGTGATTAAGTTAAGGGCCATTGAGGTATAGCGTAAATATATCATATGCACCTTTATACAAGAGACATGGGAGGAGATTAGATGCAATGGAGAGCAGAAGGCACAAAGAAGAGAGAATGATTGTAAATCAGAGGCAGACATTAGGGTGATGTGGCCACAGACAAGGAATGCCAAAGAATACTGGGCAGCCACTAGAAAGCAGAATTGGCAAGGAATGGATTCTCCTACCAGAAGCTCTGAAGGGAGAATGTCCTTGCCAGCAACTTGTGTTTGGACTTCTGGCCTCCAGAACTGTGAGAGAATAAATTCCTGTTGTTTAAAGCTACTAAGGTCATTTCATTGGTATGTCCTATGTAGGAGATTGATACAGAGCTCAACTTCTTTCTCTTTCCATCTTCCTCATCTTCCACCTGATCTTGAGCTATTAAAAGCAATGGGCCTCTGGGGCGCCTGGATGGCTCAGTCGGTTAAGCGTCTGGCTTTGGCTCAGGTCATGATCTCACGGTTCATAGATTCGAGCTCCACATCGGGCTCTGTGCTGACAGCTAGCTCAGAGCCTGGAGCCTGTTTCAGATTCTGTGTCTCCCTCTCTCTCTGACCCTCCCCTGATCATGCTGTCTCTCTCTCTCTCAGAAATAAATAAAACATTAAAAAAATTAAAAAAAAAGCAATGAGCCTCTAAAATATTGTTCTCTGATAAACTGAGGTTCCCTGAAGTTTTTTTCAACATAATACTTAGCACTTTCAGACACGTCTTTTGCACATTATTTGTTCTATCTTAATGACTAGTTATGTAATGCTATATTTATTATGCTATTTTTATCATTTTAATATTAATTTAGAAAATAAATTTTGGGTAGTTCATCTCCCGTTTACATTAATTTGAGACGACAGAGATTAGCAATTCAGCGAGGTGCTCATGGCGTAGCTAGGTCGCTCACTAGCACGTAACTTTGAGTAAGTAAATTAACCTCTGGAAGCCTCAGTTTATTTATTTATAAAGTACGCTGGGGCACGTGTGGCTCAGTCAGTTAAGCAGCTGACTCTTGATTTTGGCTCAGGTCATGATATCACAGTTCATGAGTTTGAGCCTCGCATCAAGCTGTGAGCTCCCAGCATGGAGCTGTCTTCCTCTCTTTGCCCCTTCCCCTTTTTTAGAAATAAATAAACATTTAAAAAACTGGGGTTAACAAATGTGACATTGACATTTACTAATCAGTATTTGACTAAGAGCATGAGTTTGTTATGGGCTATTTGGCTTTAATCTTTACATAAGAAAGTGTGGTAGGCAGAGCGAGAGTACCCCAAAGGTGCTCATCCCCTAATTTGCAGAACTGGTGAATATGTTCTCTTAGCTGGTAAACAGTTGGCAGATGTGAGTGGTTAAGAATCTTGAGACGATTATACTGGGTTGCCCAGGTGGGCCCAAGGTGATAACACAGGCCCGTACAAAGGAGAATCCCTGATTGCTGAGGTGGACCCAGGATGGCTACGTGAGTCCTTCGAAGGGGAGAGTAACCTGACTTCTTCCAGTGGTGCTGGTGTAATCAATAGGCCTTTATAAAGGGCGGGGGGCGGGGGTGCTGCAGCTCACGTGATAGCAGAAGTTCCGGTTCTGGGAGGTTGTGGCTGGTTCCGAAGCTGGAGGAAGAGGCCGTTTGACGCGAGGTACGGGTCGTCTGTAGACACCGAGAAAGCAACAGAAGACGCTCTCCTCCCGGAGCCCCCAGAGCAGAACGCAGTGCAGCAGATGCCATAGTTTAAGCACAAAGAGACCCGTTTTGTCTTCTGAGACCCTGAACGGTAAGACATACATTTGTGTTGTTTTAAGCCCCGGAATTTATGTTACTTTGTTCGTAGGCAGAAACTAATAGAGACAGAATGTTTGTTTTTCCTCTCCAGTATCTTTTTTTTCTTTTAAAATGGGAGAGCATGGTGGTGGTGTGTGGGCCTTGTGAAGCCTTCCCTGCCTCTTTTTTTTTTTTTTAAATGTTCTATTTATTTCTAGGAGAGATAGAGAGAGAGACAGCGTGAGCAGGGGAGGGTCAGAGAGAGAGGGAGTCACAGACTCTGAAACAGGCTCCAGGCTCTGAGCTGGCAGTCAGCACAGAGCCCGACGCGGGGCTCGAACCCACGAACTGCGAGATCATGACCTAAGCGAAAGTCGAACGCTTAACCGACTAAGCCACCCAGGCGCCCCAAGCCTTCCCTGCCTCTTATTATATTCCTTCTAAGGCACCTCTTTGAACTCATGGGTATTCCTGGATAGTGTGTAGCCTGTACCTCTTATCCCAGAAGTCTGCCCTGGCTGCCCTGTGTTCTCTTCTTGGTGCGTTCCCATAGTTTTTCCAGGTGCCTCCCAGCCACTAGTCCCTATGCAAGGGCAAAGCTGTGCCCCTCCTTGCGGTAACAGGAAGCTATGATACACAGCATAGGTTACAAGAGCTTGGAAACGATGTCAGGAATGTACCCTCTCACTAGGGTTGTCTCTTTGCCTCTCAATCTACACCTGTTTCCACTGTGAAAGGTAAAATAGTCAGGTGGGCCTTATGCTCTTCCTCACCGGGTGGACCATGAACTTTTGAACTGGGCCGAACTGCAGATACGCCACAGATTCTGCCCAAACACCTGCAACTTACTATGGTAATAAACTTCTGCTTGGTGATGGCCTTAGCAACCAGTTAAGTGTAGGCAGTATTAGATATTTGCAGCCAACACCAATCATGATTCTTGGTAAACAGCTGAAGGAAGGTTTTTCCTTTCTCCTCATTCCAATTAAAAACAACAACAACAACAAAATCCTAGTAAGCTTTCCTGTTGATGGGTCACAATTTGGCGGCCACCTAGAAATGTGCTCCTGGATTATAATTCTAAGACCCCAAACAAAAGCTTTTGTTTTACTTTTTCAGTTCTTTTTTTCTTCATAAATACTGCAACCTTGAAGCCCTTCTTCTTTCAGATCAGAAGTTTTAGTCCTGTCTCTTACGTTGAAGACTCCACATATTTTCCCCCTTTACTCCGATGGTTACAATCACCTAAAATAGATTTGTAGTCATGGTACTGTATCTGCAATGAAGAGTTTATTTTACATTTTTATTGGGGTCCTTTTGTTTCCTCTTTGTTTAGGCTTGAGAAATACGGGATGCTAAGTTTAACTGAATTTCAGATGAACAATGATGTTTTGTTATAAGGACATCACATATAATATTGGGATTTCTGTTGAACTGGTATTTAAATTTATTTCAGTTTAACTTGGAATCCTGTATTTTTGTTTAATCTGGCAGCCACGTTTTTGTCGCAACCTTCTGATTCCAGGTTTTGTTCTGGAATTCAGCTTTGTGTAAAAAAAAAAAAATCTATATTAAGCCCCTTTGTCAATCGAGAGAAAAGTCTTTTTACGAATTATTACTTGCAGAAACTTAACACCTGAAAAATATCATTCTTTATGACTGCCAACATCCCCCCTGTTAACTGTGATAGTATACATAGCAATAGTACCAATAGACTTCATAACAGAAAAACTACCAGCATTTCTTATTTTAAAACACCAGTAATTAGAAATAGCAAGTAATTCAAATTCTTTGACGATTTAATAATTTTAGATATAATTGACATACAACATTATTAGTTTCAGGTGTAGAAAATGATTTAATACTTGTATATATTGTGAAATGATCTCCACAGTAAGTCCGGTTAAAATCCATTACTGCATCAGTTCCCAACTCTTTTTTACTTTTATTTATTTATTTTTTAGGACTGTTAGGGTCTCAATAACTTTCAAATACACAATACAGTGTTAGCTATAGTTACCATGTTGTCCATTACATTCCAGGACTGACTTCTAACTGGAAGTTTGTATATCTTGATGCCCTTCACTCATTTCCCTATTCATCCACCCACAGATACTTAGGATGCTTCCATATCTTGCCTATCATAAATATTGCTACAGTGAACATAGGAACGAAGGTATCTTTTCATATTAGCATTTTACCCCCATTGGGAAACACCCAAAATGAAATTGCAGAATCCTGTGGTAGTTCTGTTTTTTGTTTGAGCCTCCATATTGTTTTCCATAGTGGCTGCACCAACTTACACTTCTACCAGTAGTGCACAAGTGTTTTTCTCGAAGTCTCCGCCAATACATGTCCTTTCTTTCATAGCCATTGTAACAGGTGTGAAGTGATAGCTCTTTGTGGTGTTGATTTATATTTCCCTGATTAGTGACATTAAGCACCTTTTCATGTACCTGCATGTCTTCTTTAGAAAAACACCTATTCACTTCTGCCCATTTTTAGAAAATGTTTATTTTAAGAGTGCATCAGCATGGGGCAGAAAGAAAGGGAGAAAGAGAATCCCACGGAGACTCCTCACTGTGAGTGTAGAACCTGAGGTGGGGCTCCATCTCCTGAACTGGAATCATGCCCTGGTCACTTAACCAACTGAGCCACCCCGGTGCCCCTGGATATTAATCTTTTATCAGATACATGATGTGCAACTATTTTCCCACATTTGGTAGGCTGACTTTTCATTTTGTTGATTCTTTCCTTTGCTATGTAGATGTGGGTTTTTTGTTTGATGTGGTCCTGCTTGTTTTGATTTTGCTTTGCTTTTGTTGCTTTTGGTGTCAAATCCAAATACAGTTTTGTTCAAGGATATTTTGAAATAAAAAAATACTTAAAAAGGGTTACAACTGGAACAGTTTGCTAGCTTTTATTGAGTTACATATAACCAAAATGAAATGGATACATTGTGTGCTAAGTTGTAAAGGACAAACGAATCTTTAATTATTATTAAATGAATCCTCAACTATTCTCCTCTTAATCAGTGTTCAAATCAGTTATCAAAATGACATACCAAAATCTTTATTCGGATTAACTTCTTAAAACTACACCTTAATTTATAAGGCTCATTCAATATCAATGATATCAAGTAAAATTGGTATCAACATTGTGTGTGTGTGTACAAAAAGATCCAACTTCAAAAACGTGAAAAACGTTACTTCAGAAAAGACTTCCAGATTGAAATTCCATTTAAAAGCTGATAAACTCTAACTGTATTGAAGATCTAACATCATTATATGTAGGTCAACTCCTAATTCTCCTGATAATGCTGCATCTCTTCATGTCTTTTTCTCTAGGCACACCTAGTGACTTCGCCCAGCATCTAGGATTCTAGGCCATAATAAATTTTTAAATATAGTCAACTACCTCACAAAGGAGAGACTAAATTTAGGTCCATATTTATTAGCTTTAACTATGAAGGCTATGTGTCAACGTTCATGACTTATTACGAGTTCACTTCTAATATGTGGCCAGTTCAATCATTTGTAACCACCTTGTATTGTCCATTAATTGGGTCATTCTGTCATTCAAATAAAACCAGACAGAATGATGATTTGAATACCTTTAAACTGTAAAACTTCCAACAACTGAGAAACTCTTTGATGCAGATTTTTATAGGAGCCTTGAATAAATATTTGCTCCCATTTACTTGACACTTAAGTTCAAATTAACACTTCTTGATCAGCTGCCTCTTACTTCAGTCTCCAACTATGAAAAATAGATAAAAAGCCTCTGGCAGCCTAAGGAAGTTCTCTTTATTGACTAGAGCTGAATGATAATTCACCTCCTCAGCATCCTTGAGTACTCCAGAAACCTCTGAACCCAGGCATTATCAACAGGTTTCAGAATTGTGCCAGTTTGTGTCCCTGAATATTTAAAGCAACAGCTATACTAATACAAAACTTCTACAGCCTTTAAAGGACTACTGTAATATTCTGTAGGTTTTTCTGATAGTAAATTTGGGGTCTAGCTTTTCTAACTTGCAGGGTCTCAAGGTGTCTGAGATCCCAAATCAACACAGGTGAAAGTTTTATACAGGTTGCTGAAGAGAACCTGTATTTAGCATTGAGCTGCTCTTAAAGGCCAATTGCAATACCTGGGGCATATTTCTAGCAATAGATTGAATTTAACCATATATTATTTTGTTCAGCTAGTTTTTCTCAGGGCTTCAGTGATCCATTAACCTTTTTGTTTAAGATAGTAACATGGGGCTGCGTAATCAGATGGTGTTCTCTGTATTTTAGATATAGATGCAGTGCGTTTATTGCTGAAGGCAGCTTTAGCAAAGTCTATCCTATATTTTGCATATTAATCAAGGTAGCAGGCAGACGTTGCTGTTAACTTTTACGAACCCAACAATGAACCAAGTATATTTATTACTGCCAATTTTGTTTCTAAATCCCTTCTTTGATTACTAAAACACTATAAGCATGTGTGCCCATAGCTTTTTATGGAATCATTCAATTTGTATTATTCAAGATGTGTCTTTTTTCCATTAAATAAAAATAGTCCAATTTCCAACTTTGCTAAAACATTAAAAATATGTTTAGACAGAAACACTCGGCAAACAATCCTAAAAAACTACCTTTTAAAAAGTGAGTACCGGGGCACCTGGGTGGCTTAGTCGGTTAAGCGTCTGACTTTCGCTCGGGTCATGATCTCGCGGTTCGTGGGTTCGAGCCCCGCGTCGGGCTCTGTGCTGACTGCCAGCTCAGAGCCTGGAGCCTCTTTCAGTCTGTGACTCCCTCTCTCTCTGACCCTCCCCTGCTCACGCTGTCTCTCTCTCTCTCTCCTAGAAATAAATAAAACATTAAAAAAAAAAAAAAGTGAGTACCTTCTCCCTTTTGGAAGCATTTGCATGCTAACTAAAAGTGCCTTTGTGGATATAGGAATGACCAGTCTCCCAATAAGTCAGACACCAGGGTCCATATCATGTATTCTACCTTTGTCCCAAAGATAAATTGGATGTAATAATCTTTAATTTTTTTGTCCATATCATGTATTCTATCTTTGTCCCAAAGATAAATTGGATGTAATAATCTTTAATTTTTTTATGTTTATTTAATTTTGAGTGTGGGGGTGGTGCAGAGAGAGGAGACAGAAGCAGGCTTAAAACTCTGAGCTGTCAGCACAGGGCCTGATGTAGGCCTCGAACACACGAACTGCAAGATCATGATCTGAGCCTTGAGACCAACTGATTGAGCCATGCAGGTGCCCCTGATTGTAATAATCTTTAAGTTCTGTATGCCATATTTCAAATTTTCCTTCAGCAAAGGGGCAGGGTATAGAAAGAAGGTAGGAAACAAAGGCTAGCGCAATAAAAATGACCATAGACTTTTGAATTGATCTGTCTGGTTTTGAATACCACATATGTGTTCTTCAGCAAGCTCCTAAGTTCTTGGTTCTGAAATTTCCTTTTTCACATAATGGGGATAACTGTACTACTCTAGAAGGTAGATTGTGAGAATAAAATAAACTGCTGCAAATGAAGCAAACCAAATTAGTTTCTTCTCTCTGTGCCCCGCCCCCCACACCATGATTTCATTGGGAAGTAATGCGATGTCAGATGAAATCCTGACACAAGTTGTCTAATGTGATGGACAGCTTCAGAGTTGGGTGCTTTGGGGCATCAACAATGTAAAGGATGGCAGTTCTTTCCCTTCAGTTTTTATCTGTTTTTATACATGGTATGAGAGAAGGCAAGTGAGCAAAGTGTCAACTACTGGGGGTCCTGGAAATAGCAGAATGCATCCTAATTATTACTGGAAAGAGTGAAGAAAAATCACACATATGAAAATTATCTTCTCTATCCATCGATTGTGCTAACAACCTATGAGATGCAGACTTTAAGGTCTGGTTCTTTCAAAGTATGGCATTAACTTTTTCAAAATATTTCTGCGTATATAATAATCAGTGAAGTTTGTTTTTGACAAGGTCTTCCTCATAATTTAGAGTGGTTTTAAGCATAGGTATTAGAATAGAGCTTAGCTTTTAAAAATCCTAAGTACATAAAGACTTCTGGACTTAAATGTTTTTTCTGGAGCAATTTTTAAAGCAAATATTACATTGAGGTAAACCTTTATCAGTGTAATACATATTTAAATATTTGCCATTTTTCCTTTTAGCAGATTATTTGACTAAAATAAGTTGTGGTATTAAAATATGAATTCCAATGAGAAATTAGCTTATAAAACGTATTGATAAAGATATTTTCCTGGATAAATAGTACTGATGAGTTAATATTGTATCCCCTACTCATACCTCATGAATTTCCTATAGGAATATGAAAATTGTATGTTTGAATTCATAAGCCACTCTATATTTTGTATAGAATAGATTTTCTTTCTATTATAGGGGAAAATGACTAAGAACCAAATTCTGACCAAGCTTTTAACTATAAAACTTTAATAAAATCTCATTAGAATAAAGATTTATTATGATTTTTTCAAGGATCTAGTATACAAAATATCTTTTATACTGGGGTAAATATATCATTTGGGGGTGATCTGGATATCCATCTTGATTAACTGAGTAATAGAAAAAGAATTATATGTGCACCTGACAAAACTTTTATTAAAAGCCAGCCTTTATATTCTGAAATAGTTAAAAGTTGACAACATTAAAGGAAGTATCCAGTATCTGTCCTGAATTCCGTATTCTAATTGCATATTAATATATAATTATAGGTTATAGGAAGCCATCCTCAATCCAGTGTATTGTGTATTTGTTGAATTTGTACTATGGGGCAGGCTGTTGCTAGGTGAAGATTCAAGGATGATCCAAATCCTTGGACACAAATCCAAACTGTCTATAACTGTACTTTTTCAGTGTTTAGTCTTGCTTGATAAAGTTGCAAGTGTGGATAAACATGAATAAGCTTTTTGATATTTTTTTTTTCTTTTCCAGGCCATTGGATTGGGAATAAAGAACAAAACCATCTTCATCAGAGAATCGTTATCAAGAAAGACTACATGGTAAATGGTAAGTCAATCATTGCTTTCTACTACCCCACCGGATAGAGGTAAGAGAATTACTTATTCATTAATGCAATTAATATTTGAGAGTCTTATAAACAGAACAGAATGATTGCATTCTTAGAATGCATTTATATCTCCGATAACATGATGAAATTGTTTAAGCATGAAATGGATTTGACAGCAGAGAGCCTTATTTCCTTTTCAAACAAGCAATAAAATCTGTTCTATTTGTTTGTAGTAAAACTCCTTAGAATGCTGTAATCATAATCCAAATACAGACTCAAAATTCAAATGAAAAAGTGTTCTTAGATTTCTTTTGTTAACATGAGCACTGCAGAATCCAGCCCAATTTATACTCCTCTGGACACAAAAATCCCTGTATTCTATGTGCAGTGACCTCTGATGTTGAGCATGTGGAGTTAGGCTCACCCTCACAGTCTGGGGAGACAGTCTTCCACAAGATGGCTCCTATTTCCTCCACCAGCAAAAAAGTGGGGATTCCTAGAAGCCACCCTCCCTTCTGATTAACAGACAATGAATTCAGAGGTACCTAATAGCCCTTCAGGTTGGATAATTCACTAGACGAATTTATAGGGCTCAGGAAAACTATACATAATATTCTAGTTTTATTGTAGCAAAAAGGCTACACAGTGGAACCAGTCAAAAGGAGAGATTGGTAATGTAATGTCTAAGAATGTCCCAAACGTGGTACTTGCATTGCCCTCTCCCATGGGTTTCGGCGAGGTCACCTTCCCAGAAGGTTGATCACACTGATGTGTAAAAGCATGCCCAAAGTATTGTCACATGGAGAAGCTCTCCATAGCTTCAGGTGTCCTGAGCTTTAACTGTGGTTTCGTTACACAGTCATAATTAATCGACTTATCGATCATGAGGTTGACCTTCATCTCTCCCTCTCTTCTTCAGAGATTGTATCTATATCATGTGTCTCAAAGTTCTAATGTTTGGTGCTTCTCGCATGGCCGGCTACCATCCTGAGTGATCTACATCTTTGTGCAAATTATCTAAGGGCCCATTTTGAGTCCCATCACTAGTGGAGACTCTTAGGGTCTACCGTTAATAGCAAAGACTCTACACTCACTGGGGAAATGCCAAACAGGGAGAGGCTGCCTCCCAGAAGTGAGAGGTAAAGGACAGCTAAATTATCATGAATAGTATCATGTTTAGTAATTGATTCTACAAACCCAAATAGCCTCATTCTCAAAGAAATGTTCAAATTGTTTCTGGAGCTGTTCTCTGCATCTCCCACCCTCCCTATTCCCCCAGTTCCTCTTGATTCTGTAACACTGCCTTCCCTGACTGCAGAATAGCTGCTTTGGTTCTTTTTCCCTATTTTCTGGCCAAATATCCATAGCCTTCTAATTTGTTTTCTGTCACTCAGATCTCTTCAAACAGGCAAGTATTTTGCTACTAGAAGGAAATTGTTCTTGTTTCCTTAAAAATCCTTAGTCTCTTTATTGACACACAAAATGTCAGACTTTTTTTCTTTGAAAGTTGTTTGATCAATCCATAAACAGAACACTTTAAATATGTTTATTCTACGTCTTCAGCCTCTAAATGTTATTAATACAAGGTAGATATTCATCCTGCCTTAAAGTTAATTTGGTTACATATATATATATACACACACACACACACACACACACACCCATATAGTATATTCAGTATCTAGGCATCATTTTTGTTTTATTCACCTTGACATCTAATACTTCATGGATATATTACATGTGTGTCTATAATAGTGTCTGGCTCATAAGCCATGTGGATATATTACATGTGTGTCTTATTGTACAGGTCTTCAGTGCACAAATTTCAAAATCTCAAGGACCAAATATCTTTTAATTTCACTAATTAGGGGCATTTGTTAAGAGTCACCACAATATAGGATCTATAAACATAGGTAGATGATTCAGATACTAAGCAGCCAGAATTATGAAGGTAGAATCAATCCATACCTATTACTATAATCATTAATGTATGTCCATGTTTCCGTATATATGGGTCAAAATATAAAGCTTCACTTAATTCAACTTTTCCTTGAACTTTTACATATTTTCCCCCTTTATCATTGGAAAGCCCAAAGCTTTATCACTTCCTGTATCTAGGGGCAAGCTGAATGGTGCCCATTCTTCCTTATGGTATGTTTCTGTAACCCATGCATCAAATGATACAGTTAATCAATACCGACAAATCAAAATGTAATTGTAGAAAGGAAATACAAAATTTCAATCATGCAAAAAAAAAAAACAAATTATAACTTGTTTATGATACTGGTCATGAGAGCTTGCCAGTTTTTATGTTCTCTTCTATGTCTTTTTGCCTTTACTCAACATCTAAACTGGTCAAGGTCTTTTAACCAATGAGTCTTGGGACATTATGCTTTTAATAAGGTCTCAAAACTTTGTGGTCACCTTTTAACAGTGGGTATTACTGTACAAGTAGGCATGCCAGTGAATCATCTAGAATTCTCCCTATTCTTTGATTGGTGTGATAGCATTAGATTTTCCCCTGATTGTCAAGATCAAGCACTGTAGTGACCTTGAATTTTTTTGTTGTTGAGCCATTGTAAAGAGAAACTAAAAGTTGGCATGTGGTCTCTGATAAAAAGGTACCTCTCCCCTGAAATAAATGGTGGAGTTTTTTAAACTGTAACATCCCCACCCAGTATTGGGTCAGAATTTTAAAAAAAAAAGGGGGAGGGGAGCAAAAACCATTTTAAAAAAGAGGCCAGTGCTTTACAAACCAATATATTGGAAAAGAGATCTTGAGATCCAGCTGGCATCTATAGATCCTTGTGTGAGTAGCTCTTGATAAATCCAAACTAAGATTCTGCCTCCAGGAATTATTAGATCCCTTCATTATTATATGCAGAAGTGTTTGATACTATAATATTATTTAGTATTCATTCTTTGATTTCTATTCTGGAAACCACTTTTTAGAAAACCATTGGTCCCAGCTTCTTCAGCTAGAAATTTCAATCTGTTACTTATACTGAAACCATATGGAAAACTTCATCTCAATCTGGATTCAATTCTTTTTCAATCCCACGTGTTTCTTAGATGGTTGGCAATTTAGAAAATCCCTGTAACTCTTCGAGAATTAAAGACTTCTATAAAGCTCCTCAGGCTACTTGGTTACCTAAATCTAATCTGAGTCTACGGGACTGTAGATTATGCATTTGCTATAGGGACTTTCCCTCCCATGGAATCCATTTGGATGGTGTATTACTGCATATCCAATCAACGCAAGAAAAGAGTGGTCCCTCCAGGAAAAAAAGAATTTAGTTGCCAAGAATGCATTATGGAGTGTTGAAAATAACACTTCAATGTAATTCTCAGTCTCTCACCTGATAAATATCCAAATCTTCACATAGGAGACCTTATAAAGCTGCAAATCACATTTCAGGTGCCTTTGGGAACAAACTGGCAGAGGTATTTTCCTACAGTATTCTTGGTCTACATCAAAAGTATCCTTGTTCAGTAAATGTTACAAAGATACTTTTAGAATAGGTCTAAGAATGTTCTATGTTTGTGACTGTTAATGTTAAGAATTTAGGTATTTTGGTTTCTTCTTTATGATTATTCAACTATCTCATTCTGTGGTCATATAACTCATGATGGCTTTCAGAGCTTTGCCTTCAATGGGGAATTTATAACAGGTGGCCACAAGAAATGTGAACCACCAAGCTGTTGCACACGTGTACAATATTCCAGTATTGGATTATTAACTGGTTTTTATTTTTCTAGTCCCAATTACATCAAAGATCCACTTCCTTGAACTTCTAGTAATCTTCTGACCTATTCAAGCTGTCCAAAGTAAACTGATCTAGAGAATAAATGTATTGAGACTGGGTGCCTCACAGGGTTTACTGGAAGATAAGGGAATGGGGCTTAGGAAATAGGCAGGAAAAGTGAATGCTAGGTGCCAAAAAATAGTCTAAAATGTCTTATAAAAATGGGTTATTTTTCTGTTGATAACCATCTGATGTCCTCAAAAGTGCCAACACCACTCAACACAGTATCACTTCATTAAACTGGGGGTTTGACATAGTTCTAGATCTTCTCCTGTTTTACTATGGTATTAATAGTCTTAATTCAAGAACAAAAGTGAAAAACAACGTGTCATTTACAATGGCTTGGGGGAGACTAGTTTCAAAGATAAAACTCAGTGCTTAATTTTACTAAATGATAAAATATTACAGAAAATTAGGGAACATACCTTAATTTGAAGTAGAGAACAACTGTTTGAATGTAATCTGTTAATCTCTGTAGATAACATCTTCTCTTATATAATTAGGGAGCACCTAACAGGCTAGCTGATTTGATGTTTAAATACTTTTTAAACCCCCTTATGTAACTGCCTTGAGGAAAGTTCTAATACTACTTAATAATATGGCATGCTTTTCAATATTTCACTAGAATCACCTAAAACTCCAGAGAAATCATGTTCTTTATGGGTTCCATAAATGGTGTCATTTTTAAGAGCACAATTTCAAAAGGCACATATGAGAATATAGTGATATGACAAAATCTGTCTGGGATATTCAAACAGACACCTAAATCTCCAAGGGGCTGGGTAGAGGTCAACATTTATACAATATTTATAATAAAAAGCCCAAGAAACATCTTGCCACTATTACATTTCATGTACATCACTACATTATCCGCCAGGAAGCTGACACTTTTACTAGCTGAGATATTGCTTCAAAATCAAGCTCAAAATCAAAAGCTTCTTTTCCTGCTTAGAACAGAATACCCTGCAAACACCATCATCATATTTCAAGTTGTGGGCTGCTTTGTTCTGTTAGAAATCCTTCAATATTCAGGTGACATAAGCTAATTCTGTGAAATCAATGATAATTAGCTAACTGTTGCTAAATTACACACAACACAGACAAATTATCATTAAGGGGAGAACTTTTGGTTAGCATTTTAATAGTGTGGGGTATAAATGGTGGCTGTGTGGTGAGCCAGAAGGTAGAGTAAA